CCCATTGGCTAAGAGGGACCTCTACCAATGTGTCTATTCGTGTAGATAGACGAATAGATAGATAAGTGTCGATGCAGCATCCTTCGTCATTCGCCCCTGGGGCCATGAGGCATTCCGATAGTTTTACGTAAATATAAATCACCCAAAAAAAGTGTTCAGCAGTGCGGCGATCCCTCACTATGCTGATGTTTGCCTTAGACATTTTTGAAGGATTGTTAAAAGCCAACAAAAGCAAACGTGCTTGGGTCAGTTCTTTAAAAAACGCCAGACAAAAACCACTTCGGTGATACAACATGAACTAAAGAGGGCAAAAAAGGATGAGGACGCAGATAAAAGTTAAATGACCATCATTTTTATTGAATCTTTATTTTTTATAGTATGCACAACTGTCATTTATTGTGCAATTATCTAATTGTAACATGTATTTGTTACATATTTTGATGCATTTTTATGCTTTAGAAAACATTTATGTCTGAATATTGGGGGGCTTGGAATGAATTGGGGCATTTACATGCAAAACGCGTATCGCCTTACAAAATTTTCTAGTTAAGAAATTTCTTCCAGAACCAATTAATTTCGTAAGTAGAGGTACCACTGTATATAAAACAAGTCCTTGAACTGATGGATTACTCTGAATATCTTGAATCAGAAGCGCCTGTTTTTAGACTTTGATAAGCACTTGATGCTGTCGAACATCACTATTTTTTGATGCACTTTATACTTTTGGTTTTGGTCGAAATTTCATGTTGGTTATTCAAATGCTTTATAAAAATATTGATCGCGGTGTTATCTTATATTCTAACACAACTAAAAGATTTACTGTTTTAAGGCCACTTTTTCAAGGATAACCAATTCCTCCCTTTTTTGTTGTGTATCGTCAACATATCTTTTGAGACATCCAACTTTTGTAATAATACAGTATCTATTTTTGATTAAGAAATTAAAATGAGAGGGGCCCGGTGAACCAGTGGTTAGCGCGTCAACTTCACAGTGCAGAGGTCGTGGGTTCGATTCTGGCACCGGCCTCCCTGTGTGGAGTTTGCATGTTCTCCCTGGGGCTGCGTGTGTTTCCTCCGAGCACTTCGTTTTCCTCCCACATTCCAAAAACATGAATGGCAGGCTGATTGAACACTCCAAATTGTCCCTAGGTGTGAGTGTGAGCGCGAATGGTTGTTTGTTTCTGTGTGCCCTGTGATATATCTCTTCCGGGTCACTTCCGGGTTGAGTGAACGCTGGCGCGTCTGGCTGCCGCTGCTCACCCGCTATTATTCTTTTT